GAGACCAAGACAGAGACCAAGACTCAGACAGAGACCACGACCGAGGCCAAGACCCAGACTGAGACCAAGACTCAGACCGAGGCCAAGACCCAGACCGAGACCATGGCCGAGACCACGACTTAGACCAAGACCAAGACCAAGACAGAGACCAAGACTCAGACCGAGACAGAGACCACGACCGAGGCCAAGATCCAGACTGAAACCAAGACTCAGACCGAGGCCAAGACCCAGACCGAGACCAAGACTCCGACCGAGACCAAGACCCAGACCAAGACCAAGACCCAGACCCAAATCAAGACTGAGACTAAGACCCAGACCGAGATTACAGCCAAGACCCAGACCGAGACCACGGCCGAGACCAAGACTGAGACCAAGACAGAGACCAAGACTCAGACCGAGACCAAGACCATGGCCGAGGCCAAGACTCAGACCGAGACCAAGACCCAGACCGAGACCAAGACTCAGACCGAGACCATGACCCAGACCGAGACCAAGACTCAGACTGAGACCAAGACCCAGACCGAGACCAAGACTCCGACCGAGACCAAGACCCAGACCAAGACCAAGACCCAGACCCAGATCAAGACTGAGACTAAGACCCAGACCGAGATTACAGCCAAGACCCAGACCGAGACCCAGACCCAGACCGAGACCACGGCCGAGACCAAGACTGAGACCAAGACAGAGACCAAGACTCAGACCGAGACCAAGACCCAGACTGAGACCAAGACTCAGACCGAGACCAAGACCCAGATCGAGATCAAGACTCAGACCGAGACCCAGACCGAGACCAAGACTCAGACCGAGACCATGACCCAGACCGAGACCAAGACTCAGACTGAGACCAAGACCCAGACCGAGACCAAGACTCAGACTGAGACCAAGACCCAGACCGAGACCAAGACTCCGACCGAGACCAAGACCCAGACCAAGACCAAGACCCAGACCCAGATCAAGACTGAGACTAAGACCCAGACCGAGATTACAGCCAAGACCCAGACCGAGACCCAGACCCAGACCGAGACCACGGCCGAGACCAAGACTGAGACCAAGACAGAGACCAAGACTCAGACCGAGACCAAGACCCAGACTGAGACCAAGACTCAGACCGAGACCAAGACCCAGATCGAGATCAAGACTCAGACCGAGACCCAGACCGAGACCAAGACTCAGACCGAGACCATGACCCAGACCGAGACCAAGACTCAGACTGAGACCAAGACCCAGACCGAGACCAAGACTCAGACCGAGACCATGACCCAGACCGAGACCGAGACCAAGACTCAGACTGAGACCAAGACCCAGACTGAGACCAAGACTCAGACCGAGACCAAGACCCAGACCGAGACCAAGACCCAGACCCAGACCGAGACCACGGCTGAGACCAAGACTGAGACCAAGACAGAGGCCAAGACTCAGACCGAGACCAAGACCCAGACTGAGACCAAGACTCAGACCGAGACCAAGACCCAGACTGAGACCAAGACTCAGACCGAGACCAAGACCCAGATCGAGACCAAGACTCAGACCGAGACCCAGACCGAGACCAAGACTCAGACCGAGACCATGACCCGGACCGAGACCAAGACTCAGACTGAGACCAAGACCCAGACTGAGACCAAGACTCAGACCGAGACCAAGACTCAGACTGAGACCAAGACCCAGACTGAGACCAAGACTCAGACCGAGACCAAGACCCAGACCGAGACCAAGACTGAGACCGAGACCCAGACCGAGACAGAGACCAAGACCAAGACCCAGACCAAGACCCAGACCAAGACTGAGACTTAGACCCAGACCAAGACCCAGACCCAGACCGAGATCAAGACCCAGACCAAGACCCAGACCGAGACAGAGACCAAGACCCAGACTCAGACCCAGATCAAGACTGAGACTTAGACCCAGACCAAGACCCAGACCCAGATCGAGATCAAGACCCAGACCAAGACCCAGACTGAGACCAAGGCCAAGACCCAGACTGAGACTGAGACCGAGACCAAGACCCAGACCAAGATCAAGACCTTCACATGACCTTGCCAGGTCATGTTTGTAAATGAGAAGTGGTTCTCAAACAGTTTACCTGGATAAATAAAGGTAAAAAAAAAAGACCCAGACCGAGATCAAGACCCAGACTGATACCGTTAAGTGCAGGATCCGAAAGTTGGTCTTTTTGTTGATGATCTCACACACACACACACACACACACACACAAGCGACTGCCTTGTTCACATATCCCTAAAGGAACCGAACCGAAGGAGAATACGCACCAGACTCCGAAACAAACGCTCCAGTGTGAAAGCACCCTCAAAGTCAGTCATTCTCTCTCACACAAGTCAATCAGAGATCATGACAAACCCGGTGATCTCTCCGTCTCTGCTGTCATTATGGAAATCAACCATCTGTGAGAAGACTTTTGGAGAGCCGTTGTGCCCTTATTCCTTTTTTAACGCTCAATCTCAACTGTGCCGTGTTTCTCGCACACCCACACTTGCAGATGTAA